TTATTTTTTTAATGTGAAAGTTAGTTTAGTAAGGGGCCAGGGCCGGGGCTCGCCCTCGTGTTTATGTTGTGCTAGCGGGCACGGTGGCCGGCGTGGTCCGCCCGTCAGGTACGCGTTGTGGATACGCGCCCGGCCTCGGGGCCCGGGCCAGGGCCGGGGCTCGCCCTCGTGTTTATGTCGTGTTAGCGGGCACGGCGGCCGGCGTGGCCCGCCCGTCAGGTACGCGTTGAGGATACGCGCCCGGCCTCGAGGCCAGGCCAGGGCTTGCCCTCGTGTTTATGTTGTGCTCGCGGGCACGGCGGTCGGCGTGGTCCGCCCGTCAGGTACGCGTTGAGGATACGCGCCCAGCCTTGGGGCTGTGCACGGGCTGGGGATCCCGATCTCGTGTTTGTCTCTGTGATGGTGACTGGTTGTGAGTGCGGCGCTGTGGAGTCGTGTCGAGTTAATGCGAGGCGGGCCCAAGTTCTGGATCGGGGCGGGGAAGGGGAACGGGGTTGCGTTTTTGAGGACGGGGTGGTGTGGTTAATTTGTCGACCTGAACGCCGTCGTCTTGGTGACCCGGCACGGTGCGGGCCCCTGCAGCAAAGCGCCTACGTTGACCTTACGGGTGACAGCGGGCTTGGCAAGCCGGTGAAAGCTCAAGTGGGGCACAGCACCGCTGCAGGTAGCTTGGCCCAGTGGCCCTGCACCCGGACGGATGGCGCCACCGCCGCCTCGGCTTGGGGCCTCGCACCCTGCCCAGCCCCAGGTGCACGGTGGAGGGAGAGAAGGTGGCGGCACGAGGGGTCTGCTCGCGGGTCCAGAATCTCGTCAGGTTGGGGGATTAACGCCCTAGTCGGGGCCAACTGTAGGGCCTGTTCACACTACCTTCAGTCGGGACCGCCGTGCAGGTAGGTAGGTGGGAAGCCCATACTCAGCTTGCGCGGGACGGGCTCGTACCTGGCTTCTCTCTCGCACACTCCGGCCGGGTGAGCCCGGGCGAGGGTCGGTGCCGCTCAAGCTAAGTCGGGGCGGCCCAGATACCTGCATAGGCCGCCCCGACTGCAGGTACTCTGTACCGGCACGTTAGATAGCCCCGACTCGACCGATAATCCCCCAACCTGTCGAGATTCTGGACCCACGGGTCCCTATGCTGGGAGACCCTCGTGCCGCCACCTTCTCTCTCTCCACCGTGCCCAGGTGTGACCTGCGTGCCCTGAGCCTTGGCGGCCCGGGTTCAAGACTAGTGGCCTGAGCCGCTCGCAGATGGTCCCTGAGCTACGATATGGCAATTTTGGCTAAATTGGCGCGAAATGACCAGCCTTCAAAGAAATCACCATGGCATAGCTAAGGGACCCCTTGATGAAATATGACGTTCGACACGTCTCCGGATGCGTTTTTACGCGTAGATTCCATTTCCGGTCGAGTTTTCCCAAATTTTGGAAACCGAAAGGCTCAAACGGGAAATTTCACTTTTCTGACTATTTCTCCCGATTTCTCCATAAGAGTTCTATGTTAAACTTTGACAGCCTGGCGGGACCTTTTCTGGTGGTCAGATCAAGTCGAGAGGGGTATCAAAAATCTTGTATTTTAACATAGAACGCGATGACACCCAAGACATCAACATTTCAGACCTTCGTGCATTTTGCACCCCTCTAACCTCATGGCTGGCGAATTTTACGGGGAGTGGCTCGCTTGTATTCAGCGAACCCGGGAGGTGGGCAGTCTGCTGGCTATACGCGTCATAGATGCGATGCAGCGCAGGGAGAGTGGCCTCCTGGAGTGTGAAGTTTTTCTCCCCGCAGTGTTCTTGGAACCCCGGTACAAGTCACTCCTGACAACTGCCCAGAGGAAGAAAGCCACTGATTACTTTCAGGCTCTATCTATCAGGCTAGAACACCTAGGCCTAGGTGATCAGGAACAGGACCACAACGCCAACGAGGACGACCCTGCTTCTGTGAATGAAAATGAAACTGCTGACGATTTAGAGGCAATTTTGATGGCTTCTGACACGTCAGACAACATTGTTAAAGAAAACAACATTTTAAAAAATTTTGTCTGATTATGATGATTGGGAGAGGGTGCCGAAAGAAGTTGACATCTTCAAATATTGGTATGAGAGGAGGCTAAAACATGATGTTCCTCATAAGTTGTCAGAAGTTGTACTATCGGTTCCCATGACACAAGTTAGTGTCGAGCGCACATTTAGTCACTTCAAGCAGATTCTGTCTATGTTGAGGTTCAAAATATCTTCTGACATTAAACGACATTCTGTTCATCAAATGCAACTATCATTTACAAAAGTTATTTTTGGTAGAGAATAATTTTCCTTATTGCAATGATTTTGTTTATTGGCAGGGATAGATCCCTGTTGTGTTCGTACTGTGCACAATTACTTTCTTTTAGTTTGTATTGGGAACGCCCTGTAATTTTATATTTTCAAAGAAATTTTCTTGCATTGATGAATTATGTATGCATATGTGCACAAGCACCCGTTTTAGTTAATATGTTTACAATGCCCCCTGTAAGATGTTGAAAATTGTAAAGTTCTCAAAGAAACTTTTCTTCTCAAATAAAATCTGTATATTCATCTGGAAAAACGCTCGTTTTAACATTAGTCGTCATTTACCTACCTAAACAGTCACCAAAAGATGCAAAAAAGAAGAACACATTTGATAGAGTGGGGGTGGGGTGCGGGCAGGCCGACCGAGAGATTTTAATGTAAAAGAGAAGCTAACAATTTGAGCCGCATTTTCGGCTGTAGAAAGTCAGTGTGTAATACCACTCTGAGTGTGCGCAGAAAACGCGCTTTTCGCCGGGATGTACGAAAAAAAGTGGAATCCCCATTAAATTAACCTGGGATGAGAGCGAATACGGATCGAATCGGTAACTTTTTTTTGCATCAGTTGAAGAGTATAGCTCATTCTTACATAAGGGTCAAAACCATACACATTTTAATTTAATTTTTTCATTTGCCCTCGTCAGTTTAATTAGAATATTTTAGATTCTACCCTTGGGGGCGAAATAATTAAAACATTTCGCACTTTTAAGACACCTTCAATTTTCACAGGATATAGTTCTGTACCATAGTACTGTATTTCGCCCTTCAAATTTTGCACTTGTTGTTTGTCGTATGACATATTACACCAACTCGCGGTGGTCATATCCAACCTCTTCACACTAAGTCCATCAGCCCGCCCGCCCTCTGTCCGGTTCACCCGGAGTCCTCCATCGCCACCAGAGGGCGGGAGGGCGGCAATTTTTGAACCGAAGATCGTGATCTCATCACGGTCACTCAATGCTACCTTTCTGAACGCAAGAGATTTCTATGGAATTTCGTTCAAACATCCCGGACAGCTCGGGACTGTAACGCGGACAAACCTCGTGGACTGAATTGCGGACAGTGCCACAAAATGCAAAACGTCTCTCGGACCATTGCGGACAGAGCCACGGATAGGATCTCAGATGACTGCGGACAGTGCCACGGACACGATCGTCGATCACGGACAGCATATTCCATCGAAATTTCCTTTAACCATCCTGGACAGCTACAGCTACACGGACAATCATCGTGGACAGGTTTGCGGACTATGGCGGACAGAGCCACGGATAGGATCTCGGACTGCGGACAGCTGCGGACAAGTCCACGGACGTTTCAATCCACGGACTTGGGCCACGGACAACTCATGGACATACCAGTGGACATGTCCTCAAATTGTCCTCATGTAGTCCGTAGCCGCTGTCCGCGTGAGCTGTCCGTCGGCTCATCAGGGATACGGCACAATATAATTCTCTATGCTAACCCTGGTACTGAGGAAGATTTAGACAGCCCTGACTCACAAGAATCTGACAATGATGCCATTATGGAAATCCATAAGATGGGACTAGTAGTAAATACGGGGCAGTCTACTTGCTATCAAATGCGAAAGCAGGTAGCAAGAAACCTGCTGCGAAAAAGGCAGGAGCAAAGCCGGTTAAACGTGTGTGGCATTTATTGCTGAAATTGGGCAATGTAGTCTTCTGATTTCCATACATTTACATTTCATTACGTTTACCTGAGATACAGTGCTGTATATTAATTTCATTCTATCTGTTTTGGGGGACTCCAGTAAAAGCAGAGGTGTTTCAAAAAAGTCCTGGAAAGAAAGTTAGCAGAAGCTGCCAATCGTTTTAAGCAGGTTTCAGTGGCGGATACGCATACAGAAAAGAAGCCAAAACCCAAGAGGAACCTCCGTTCTACTAAACTCAACATAGGTAACTTGTCTTGCTTTATCCTATGGTTCTCTCTATCAGGCACACTTCTACTAAATTGTTTATGAACCATTCTTCCCTAAATCTCCCGCCTCCTAATGACTGTTTTCTTTAGTTGTATACGGTGCAAGTGATGTTTGATGTTCCTTAGCTCTAAGAAATAATTTTTAACTTGCTATTTGTTCAATGTTTTGCTGCAGATGACTACTCAGACCCTGAGCTGCCAAACAATTATAGACGAAGAGGTTGAAGATCTGAAGAAAGCAGGGGTGCTTCTCTCGAACGGCTTCACCCCTATGGCACCCTTATTCTGTGATGAAGGGGAGGCCTTTGTAGTAGGCTGGTAGCTTTGTTTGTTGTCGGTATATTATATAT